TGTCTTAGTTAAATATTTATTCATTTCAGTTTGCCAGATTTTTTATCCGCCATGTTTAGATGTTGCCCAAAAAGGTAGCGTCAAACATGACGGATAAAAGATCGGGCAGTGCCAACCCCTTAGTTAATCCAAGGTCATCCCAGCTACGATTTCAGATCAGTGTCCGTCCGTCCTTTCAGTACTCTCGTTATTTATAGAAATCGCTTGCTGGGACTGCGCTTGTTCGACAATAATTTACACACATAAACTCGCAACTACAGCAGTACTTATTTTCGGCTCACGGGCCTGACACAGTAGCAAGCGGTGCTCCTGTCATATTGAAGGTTTTGAGCTCGATTTCGTCAGTAGAGAAACCAATCCCTCTACGATTCGTTCATTCGTTTCAATGCTAAACTGCTGCTAGCATCCTCTTGCTTGTAAGGGGGGAAACGTGGACAATTGCTTTGCTACCACTCGAGCTACTTTCGGTTACCACCATTTTTTGTAAAAAACAAATATGAAGAGATTTTGAATTAGGCTTTTTTCTGAACGTGTTCTAGGCATTTTCTGTAAAGGAGTTAACAGGCCTGTCCAGTTAGGTTTCCTTTGTTAAGTATTGCTATCCACAGATTTAATTAACTTCGGTTTTCTCTTCTGCCACTTATTTAACATTTTTTGGCCTGCTGATACGTTGCTGAACTCTTTTGACTAATTCCCTGCTGCTCTTTGCGTATTTTTTGTCGGATTTTTGCCTTTTTTGATGAATGTTTTTTTGCTATTTTGCTAATTTTAGCATTTTGTTGACCAACAGTTTTCGCATTTTGTCTATCATAAATCAGGAAAATGAAAGGAGCTTTTCTTGTCCATAATAGTTGCTCATAAATTTCAAAAAATTTCATAATTTGCTTCTAGTAACTGAAATAGTTTGAGGCACTGCATTGCTACCAAAATCAGTTAGCTCTTTGATTCCCTTCTACGAATTATTTTAGGTGCAAGCTAAAGATGGTTTAGTTAGTTTTGTGGCGTATCAGATACAATATGCAATTTTGAGGAAAAAAAATACGAAGAGGGAAAGAGGGCTTGGAAAGAAAGGAGGGGAAGTACTTGTCGATCGTTCTATGATTTTTCATAGCACAAATAAAAATTATTCTTTGTATTCTTTCCGAGCCACAAGCATAAAAGGCTTACTTTTTCTGGAATCTGAAATATTTCAAGCACTGTTTATTTCATCGCTACACGGCTACAGTTTTCCCCCGACTGTTGTGACTGAATTGCATTACCTGGTGGTCAATATGTTGCTATACTGCTGATTCTAGCATTTCTTTTCCAAATTTTTCTTCCTTGTTTTTCCGATGAAAAATACTGGATTTTGCGCATTTTATTAAGAATAGATATGTACAATAAACTTGTAAGAAAAAAGAAAATGCCGAAAAATTTAAATTCCTATGATTAAAATTTCATTTTATTGAGGAAAGCTCAATCGGTGGGTCTTTTCTGTAAAAGAAGAAATTTCATTTGCAAAGATAAAATTTTTCTGGAAGAAAATCTCAATTTTACCAATAAAATTTGAATTTTGAAAGAAGGGAAATCGGTTTTTTTATGCGTTTTTGCAAAGCGCATATTGCAACGACCCCGGTGTGCGTGTGTGTGTGTGTGTGTATC